CAAGGGGAAACCACTATATAATCGCATATAACCATTACAACATAAACTTGGTTATACTGATGGGAGATAACAAATGTTTACAGGAATGATGTTAGTGGGCACGAAAACTACTTTTTAAGATTTTTTTTGGCTCGATATTCTTTAAAGAAATTGACTCATATATAATACACTTATATCATAGATACTACCTAAAAAAACATCACCGTATTTATTTTTTTTACAGAAAGAATCGAAATACTGAACATTTTAAAAAAATGGGATTATCCACATATTGGAGTAGTTTTTAGAGTTAAATCAATTAACAAAGGCGAGGCGAGTACAAAAACACAAAGTTGACGAGTGACCCAAATTAAATTAACCAACTACTGGAGATGGAAGCTGATTGCCTGCTTGTTAGCGTTTGTGGAACGGAATCAAATTGGTTTTCAGAAAATGTTTCTTCTTAATCTAAATACTACTCGAAATAAAATTAAAAAAAAACCGCGTAGAAAAGGAACAACAAGATGTTTTCGTATGGAACATTCCTCTTTAGATCAATTAATCGATCAATGTGTATGAAGTAGAGATAATCGCAGTTGATAAGGGACAGTTGCATGTCCAACCCTACGATCCGAACTCTAGACCTTTAGGTACGCAACCTTACGCTTTACCGTTCGACCACACCGTCCCAACGAGTGTTTTTAAACCTTGCATTATAATAGTAGGTTTCTTTTGGTACATGAGGTAACCATCGATTTATTTGTCATCCTCGTAATATTATTGTAGTTATTTAAAAAAAAACACACAAAACCACAGCTAGATGTGTTATATATATATATATATATATTTGTATATATATATATATATATATATATATATATATATATATATATATATATATATATATATATATATATATATATATATATATATATATATATATATATATATATATATGGTTATAAGATTAAATTCTTCACTGTTTTCAATATAAACAAAAATGTATTCGTTAATATCTTCGAGCAGTAAAACGTGACTTAAAAACCTGCACCGACCCTCCCCTTACCTCTCTATTTAAAGATTCATTCTGGAGTCAATCAACCGTGAACACACACAGAGGCCACGCTAGACTGACTGTGGCAACACGACGCCGCATTAAGCTGCATTATACTGGTTTAAATCTACACCAAGGTTGGGGTAGGGGGTGGCGGGGGGGGGGGGGGGGGGTAGGATGATACTACATTTCAACCTTGTTTTCATTGCGTTGGACCCAAAAAAAGAAAACAAACTGTAAATGGAATAAATGATACGTGTTTTTAAATAAACGAAACAATTTAACAAGTGTTGTAAGAAAAGGTACTGCTATTTCCTAAACTCACAAGAAGGCAACATTCAATGAATTCTTTAATATTTACCCGACACAATCATTGAAGAAAAAAATAACACTTTATCGAGAACATTCGACGATCTGATCGGAAAACAAAGTTCACAAATGAAATGCATCCCACACTAAACATTTTTTGAAAAAATTAATACACTAGATAACTTATACTTTATGACATTTTAAATGAATTCAGTCAAATGTTTCAAGTATTTAATCAAAATTACATGAGAAAGAAATGTGTCGGATACTTTAATCCTCTATAAATGAGAAAGAAATGTGTCGGATACTTTAATCCTCTATAAATGAGAAAAAAATGTGTCGGATACTTTAATCCTCTATAAATGAGAAAGAAATGTGTCGGATACTTTAATCCACTATAAATGAGAAAGAAATGTGTCGGATACTTTAATGTTCTATAAATGAGGAGAAATGTGTCGGATACTTTAATCCTCTATAAATGAGAAAGAAATGTGTCGGATACTTTAATCTTCTATAAATGAGAAAGAAACGTGTCGGATACTTTAATCCTCTATAAATGAGAAAGAAATGTGTCGTATACTTTAATCTTCTATAAATGAGAAAGAAATGTGTCGGATACTTTAATCTTCTATAAATGAGAAAGAAATGTGTCGGATACTTTAATCTTCTATAAATGAGAAGAAATGTGTCGGATACTTTAATCCTCTATAAATGGGAAAGAAATATGTCGGATACTTTAATCCTCCAAAAATGAGGACAAATGTGTCGGATACTTTACAAACCGTTTAAAAAAAAAGAAGTCGTTATTTCTCCATAAGCTGCCTTTATATATTCCATTTAAACTTTTTTTCAACATCACACATTTATTTTTAGCCCCTGAAGATCTAAGTCAATATTTACACAATAGACTGGGTCACTTACATCAAACTGTCAATTTGCTGTATGTTTATGCTATAATTACATGATCAATGATACATATATTTCACTAAAAATGTCTCATGCAATACTCATTTAACTCATGCAGCAACATATGTAAATGTATTTTTAAGCCTATATTTACATTATGTTTTCATACGTGTTTATCTGTTGTAAATTTCTGTCATATAACAGTGTAAACAAGTTATGTTTTTTTATCTGATGTTGTTGTTATACTGCAATCATACTAAAGTGTCTCATGCAAATACTCATTTAACTCATGCAACAACAAATGAAAATGTATTTTTAAGCCTATATTTACATTATGTTTTTCATACGTGTTTATCTTTTGTAAATTTATGTCATATAACAGTGTAAACATTAAAGCTTGTTATCTGATGTTGTTGTTATACTGCAATCACTTCAATCCCCCCTCAATGTCAAGTCTGCAAAACCGAATTTCCAACGAATGTAAACAACAGGCACTAGATATCAATTCAAGAGGCCCTCAATGTTGAAATACCACTGAATAAATAAAGTAAAAACGTGTTGGGTGTCTAAAAATAGCATCATGACGTCATGGTTCAACACACGAGTTCCGTCCCTTTAATCAAAATTCATGTGACTAAAATCAATGGAATAGAGAAAAACTAGCAGCCTAGTCCTAGGCGCATAGAGTTACAGTTGTGATTATTTACAGAACGTATAGCTGCATTTGTTTCTCCATTACAGAAGGTAATACTTTAACTAATTATTTAAACCAGAGGTGTTGTTTATGTAAGGTTTAATAGTGTTTTAAAATGTAACTAAACAAGTTCAGCGGTATTGATCAAATGGAGGGCAGACAGGTGAAGAGGGTGACCTAGCTCCCCGTTCTGCTCTGCTAGATCTGTCCTGTATTTAGCTTACATAAGACCGGTCTCATTGTGTAACTTCGTGACCAATGAACAAAGGGGGACTTTGTTTCAATTCACGCACGACATCACAAACTGGGCCAGGTAACCAGACAATCTGTTCGTGTTTAGACACTAGTTCACATCTTGCCCAGGTAAGTCGATAGATCTGTTTGACTTGCAATAATATCATTTAGGTGTCACCAGGCAAGCAGTCATATGTATTTAGGATTATATGTCTGTGTTTGTATGTACACTACTTATGTACGAGCTCTATCTATGAACATATATATGCGTATATATATATATATATATATATATATATATATATATATATATATATATATATATATATATATATATATATATATATATATGTTTATATATATATTTATTTACTTATATCTATGTGTGGGTGTAGATTTGTATGCAGATGCATAATTATATATTTACATATGCGAATGTTTACATGAAACATGCATATGTAAACATGAACTACATAAACAATTATAAATGTAAATTTCTTTATGTCTAATAAACTTGTGTTTACTTATAGTTATTTATACATAAGCTTGTATTATATGTATGCATATTTAAGCTAAGCCTATATATATATATATATATATATATATATATATATATATATATATATATATATATATATATATAATGTGTTTGTTTATACATACATATATATGAACATATTCACATATATAATAATATTATATACATGGACAGGCAGAAATATGAATATATATAATGAGAAGATTTATTTATATATACATATATATATATGTATATATATATGTATGTATATATATATATATATATATATATATATATATATATATATATATATATATAAATCACATTGTTTTAAATATAAATAAATGTGATGTGTGAGTATTTAGAAAAATTGAGCATTATGTTGTATTTTGTACCCATTTGCAGCGTATATGAACATATTCTATTATGTTTGCTTTTCATTCGAACACGCGGCTCCAACAGTATTCAGTGAGCCACAAGATATAACTAGAGTAATTAGTAGACATTAATTAGATACACCTAAAGCGTACACCAGTGTGACAGTCTACCGCCAGTACTAAACACTTAAAGCACTCATAATCCCAACAAGATTAAGACATAGTTTTCGTCAGTGCGCATGACCGCCTGCTTTTCGTATACCGACGTATGTGGTATGGAAAGGCTGAGACCTTGGCACTGAGCCAAGCAAATCAATAGTGCATGACTGGGGAGACATTAAAAATGGCGACTGCTGCAATGACACAGCTAAATGTCACGGGAATACAAACCCTAGTGCTTACCATTCAAAACTAACACACACACACACACATACATATATACACACACACACACACACACACATATATATATATATATATATATATATATATATATATATATATATATATATATATATATATATATATATATATATGTATGCATGTATATATAGTTAAATAAATCTATTTATCCAACATCGATTTCCAATAGTGTTTTTGTTTACTTATGTTGTTAGACTTGTTTAAGTTCTAAATTATTTATAGCTTCAGCGTTATTCAACGTTGTCTTCTTTGCACTTAGCATTTTTTAAAATTTATATGTGTGTATCCTGCCTTTAACTATTTACCATCAAAATGCTGACTAATTTGGAATAAAACAAAGCCTGTACAGCCTATGCAAATCACGTGACCCCCGTATAACAGTTAGCTATAGAACACTTGACACCCCCACTAAACGCCACACATCTGTGTGGGGGACTCTGTACTACCACACACTAGGGCATGGTTTAGCTGTCCCAAACACATGCCCATGATTCATGACCGTGGGATTGCGTCCTTCTCACACACAACAAGACAGATATTATTTTCCCGTGTAAGCCTCCCAGTTCAGTAGCATTGGAATACAACCGAGTGTTGTTCCGTGGTTATAACGAATACCCATTTTTTTATTTCCCTTGTTCAATAAGGTATGGTTTGATATTAGCTTCTTATATTATATTTTTAGAGATTTAAAGATTTTGCATGAGCACAAATGAGGGGATTGTGTGTTGATAAATTTGAATATATTTTGTTGTGATATGTTTTGCCCATATTACAATACAAAAACACACATTTTGCAAATAATTTATTCACATACGTACATTAACGTACGCACGCAAAACACATGCAAACACATCTACACAAACTTACTTACATAACGACACACTGTACATAATATATATATATATATATATATATATATATATATATATATATATATATATATATATATATATATATATATATATATATATATATATTATGTATATATATACATACACACACTTGTATACAATTATTTATTGTTCATATATACTCCCAACCTTGCACATTCCAACGTTTACTCAAATATTAAGTTGATATCCTTAAAATAGAACTACTTATCACTTTTTAATATAGAACCATACAATTCTAGCTAGATATCTATTTCACTTGCAGTATTTATTTTAACACATTCATACCTTAAATTAAGATAAAGAAAACACCACTTATGTTGTAAAATCGATCAACACCATAAGGTATCAGGTAGCTTACACACATTTTTCACACAAGGCCAAATATCCAGCTTCAAGGTGGATCTAATATCACCTACACTTGGGACTACTAGACAGTAGATTCAATGAAATATTTGTACTCAAATGTGTTTGTTTGAGAAAGCCATTGAGTGCAATCTTTGTGGGTCTACCTGAAGCAAATACGGCTCCACAGTCTACCAAAACGATATTAGGCTTTTGACAGCATAATATAAGACTGAGTGGTGTTAAGTCTCTTACTTATGGAACACAAAATGCATACAGTGTGTATACATTAGTAAAATATATTTCATTAAGCATGCATATTTATTAAAGCGTTTATATTTACTACCTAACGTATACATAATTCTTAGCAAAAAGCACCACTACACTAAAATTGAACTAATTCGGAGCAACCCCCCCCCCCCTCCCAGAGGCGCAGCGACCCTTCCCGGCGCCCGGGGATAAATTTTCGATTTGCACCCCTCGTCAAACTTTTGATTTGCCCCCCCCCCCCCCCCCCCCCCCAAACTGTCAATGTGCACCCCTCCCCACCCTCAAACTTTCAATTTGTTTTTCCAACCCATTTTGGCTACCCCCTAAGGTCGGCGCCTGGGGACATATGTCCCACCGCCACCCCCCCTTGCTACGCCTCTGCCCCCCCCTTCTACTCCCAAGCTACCCCTATGAATAAGAAACAACAATAAAAAGGTGGCGGGCGACCCTGTCAGTTACCCAATCCACAGAAAAACAGCAACAAGTGTACCAGTACCTACCCCAGCCTGTGTAATGTTAATAAATCAAGATAAGACATTTATCACCCAAACACCAACTGCGCACTTGAATCCACCACACCCCCCCCCCCCTCCACGTTATCTGTCTGTATAAAACCTATTGTGTTTAGACTAGTCAAACAATGCACTTTGGCGTTGTGTTACATAGTCACACACAGCGCGCCACATTTCCTGATGTTTATCTCTGATTTCATTTACGGACATTTAACCTTTAAATTATTTAAATATCCTATCATCACGATCTCAATGATAGCGGTTTTATTTTCTCTTGACTAAACCTGAACATCCTCTCTTTTTTACATTTTGTATTAAATAAAAAAAATATGAGATTAATCTAATGGATGATTTATGGCTTTCTATATTTATCTCTTAATATCTTTACTTTACGATCAACTGATTTATTCTCCGTATATGAAGAAGGTCTTATACACTGATTATTGTTGTACTTTAAGACAAAATAATTGTACGTTACTGTCGCATATTTCGAATTTTATAAAACAAAATAACTTGCAATGCCAGTTTATACATTGCATTTAATAACCCGGAATTAACGTATTGATTTAGTATCACAAACAACTTACACTGTGCATACACACTACAGCAAAAAACATGTAGGCATTCATATTTAAAGAGCAAAATCAATTCTCAGACACAACTAGCATATACTGCAGTTCATATTTAACACCACATCACTAATGTAAACACGAGTAAGTTACAGCTATGTAATACCTACATCTATTGAAATAGCTTCTTAAAGTTGTTTTTTTCCATCTGTCTAGATCAAACATGGTGAAGATGATGTTTGCAGCGGTTGTTACATTAAGCCTTCTCTGTACACACTTGAGTAAGTTTTTTTTTAATTGAATCTACTATTTTATCTTAAGGCAACTGAATAAATTAATTCAATTTCAGCATCATATTGTGACTTGTAAAGTATTACGTGTTCATCTTGTTAAACTATACAACAAAAGCCAAACAAAACAAATATTATGAAGGTATTTTTTAAATTATATTTGCTTTTTTATATTATTTTAACTGAAAATATTAATTCAATCTCAGCAACCTGTGACTTGTATAGTATAACATTTTCATCTTTTTATTTTATAAATAAAAAAAGCCAAACAAATTAAATATCGTAAAGTGATGATTAAATTCCGTCTACAATTTAATCTTATTTTTACTAAAGCTGTTAGATCTAATTGAATTTTCGGCACATTAAAAAGATAAAAAATAAGTTAATGGTAGACCATACGACTGCTATGTTGAAAGTCCCGAGTTCAAATCCCAGGTCCTTGATTTTTGCTATTGAAGTTTGTGATATAGTGTTTGTCATATGATATTCCTATAGACAGGCAAACTCTTCTACTAACGTTACTTAAAGTATAGAGCTATGTGATGTTCCTATGGGCAGACATATTATCTTCCACGAACTCTATTAAAGTGTAGGCCTATAGCTAGTGATATTCCTATAGACAGATAAACTACCTTCTACTAAGGCAACTTTAAGTGTATAACTACGTGATGTTGCTATAGACATATAAACTACTAATGCTACTTAGTGTTTAGCTATGTGATGATCTAGAGACAGATAAACTATCTTCTACTAAGGCTACTTAAATTGTATAACTATGTGGTGTTCCTATAGACAGACAAACTATCTTCCACTAACGCTACATAAAGCTATGTGATGTTCCTATAGACAAATACACTAGCCTCCACTAACGTTACTTAAAGCTATGTGATGTTCCTATAGACAAATAAACTATCATCAACTAACGTTACTTAAAGCTATGTGATGTTCCTATACTATAGACAAATAAACTATCCTCAACTAACGTTACTTAAAGCTATTTGATGTTCCTATAGACAGATACACTAGCCTCCACTAACGCTACTTAAAACTATATGATGTTCCTATAGACAAATAAACTATCCTCCACTAACGCTACTTAAAGTGTATAGCTGTGTAATGTTCCTACTATAGACAAATACACTATCCTCCACTAACGCTACTCCCCAGCTTTAGGTCAACGACCCCCCCACCCCGATGTCGAGTTTGAGGACTACGGCGAGATGGAGGTCGAGGTCGACCAAAGCGTGACCTTCAAGTGTCTGGTCAAGAACTACCTTGGTCTGATGACACCCAGGTTCCCGCCCATCCCAGTCGAGATTGTGCGGGACATGGAGCACCAGTTTGAAGAGAGGGTGCTCTCAAGTTTTGACAAAGTCTTCGAGCAGCAGGACAGGTACAGGGTCACTGTCCAGAACAGGTCAAGTACTCTGGAGGTCAAGTTCACAATTGACCCAGGTAATTCTGATTTTTAAATACTACAACTTCTGACATAAGGTCCAGCTTACTGTTCATCTAAGGGGTCGTCCATAAATGACGTCACACTCGTAAGGGGGAGGGGGGGGGGGGTCCGTAATTTTTTGACAATGTGTGATGAGAAGGAGGGGGGTTCAGTTGGTGTGACGTCAAACTTTTGCATTATAAAAAAGCAATGTTAGAAAACGAGTTTTAGCCGTTATTTCGCGCTTTAGAAAACGGTTTTAATAAATTATAATAGGAATTGATCGAAATACTTTTTGTTGACGAGTTCTGAAAAGGTTTTTGAAAAGTATCGATGTTTTAAGAAAAATTCAACAGCAATTTGTAGGGGGGTTGAAGGCTGAGGTGTGACGTCATTTTATCAGGGGGGGGGGGGTCTGGCTTTTTGTGACGACGTGTGACGGAGGGAGAGGGTAGGTAAAAATCGTCCAAAAAAGTGTATGACCCCTAAGTTATTATGTTTTTATAAGCTTTTATTTCTTTCGCAACGTCTGTTTTTAAAATACTTTCATCTTCGATGACAATGCAATAATATCTAAGTTTTGCTCTAATCAGATGGACAATTAGTAATTAAAATGTAATTTTTAAAAAAATCAAATAATAAATCTCAAGCAATTACTCGATCAGCCTGTTAACAACAGAACTAATAATAGCTTCTAATGTTGTTGCCAACTAAATAATTAGGGTCTGCACCATCTCGCCATTTTAGCTGTACAATAATCTAACTCTGGTCACACAAAGAAGCCGTAGCTATTCAATTAAAGAAATCCGTCAACCACAACTCGCCCATGATTTATTTCTATACACCTGACGTCAATAAGCTACAGCTATTGATTTTTTTAAACAAAGGCGGCCTACGATCGTGCTTGACACACTTTAGTGTTAACTAAATATAGCAAACTGTCAGCGGAGTTGGCGACTAATCTGATTCATTCATCCAGATACATGAGCAATGTATACATATAGTTATTAGAACACGTTTCTTTTGTTTTGCAAATTATTTTTAAGTCTTAAAAAAGACAAGGGTTTAATGATATCGATACATTGTAGGCCAATCTATGATCATGTTTCTTTATGTCCCCGATACCTTAAAACAGATGACACTAAGAACGTTTGGTGCTTTGGTTATGTTTCGCTTTGCCCTAGTAAACACTGCAGTCATTTAAAAAAATGATTTTAAGATATAAGTTATCCTCTTAAATTTGCAAAATAGCAATTACATTTACATTTGTAAAGTAACAATAAACACGACATTTTTGAGGTAGCAAATCATTTAAACCTTCTAAAATAAGAAATTCATTCTATGTGTGTAAATTAGGACATCCCTCTACATCTACAAAATAGCCATGTACTCTACATTTATAAAAATAGCAATTCATTTTACATTTTAAAAAAATATATATTAATTCTAAATTTACAGAATATAAATTATCTTTACATCTACAAAATTAGTAGTTTACGTTAATAAGATATAAATACTTCTAATCTCATTTAAAATTAAAATTCTTCTCTACTGTGATAAAATATCATTTCCCCACAACAGTTATAAAATATATATTCTCTACATCTGTTATAAAATATCTTTTCACCACACGTTATAAAATATCTATTCTCTCCATCTGTAATAAAATATCAATTCTACTTTACTGTTATAAAATATCAGTTTTTCCCTACTGTTATAAAATATCATTTTTCCCTACTGTTATAACATATCATTTGTCCCTTACACTTATAAAATATATATTCTCCACATGTTATAAAATTTACATTCTCCCCTACTGTTATAAAATATATATTTTCTCCATTATATCTTACTGTTATAAAATATCAGTTTTTCCTTACTGTTATAAAATATCAGTTTTCCCTTACTGTAATAAAATATCAGTTTACCCTTACTGTTATAAAATATATATTTTCTCCATCTGTAATAAAATATAAATTATACCTTATTGTTATTAAATATCATTTTCCCCCTACTGTTATAAAATATCAATTTTCCTCTACTGTTATAAAATATCAATTTTCCCCTTACTGTTGTCCATCTAAACTGACAGTGAGGAGAGAGGACAGTGGCATGTACAGATGTAGGGTAGGTCAACATCCTCATCGATTCTCATCGGAGGAAGAGAAGACTGTCATTGAGTTGAAAGTCTCAGACTTTGGTAAGTGAATATCACCCCACAGCCAGTACCAGCACATTCCCACACAACACCCACACTTTCCTCCACACACCCACACACTCAATTCCTCCCACACCCAACACCGACACTTTCCCACACACCCAACACCCACACTTTCCCCAACACAAACACTTTCCCCCACATGCACCCAACACCTATACTTTCCACCCATGCACCCAACACCCGCACTTTCCCCCACCAACTCCTACACTTCCCCCCCCCACCCAACATCAACACTTCCCAATCACATCCAACACCCACACTCCTCCACCCTACACCCACACTTCCCCACACACAAACCAGTGGCGGAACTAGAAAAAAAGGCTCCCCCGCAAAAATTTGTATTGGCCCCCCCCCCCCCCATATATATATATATATTTATATATATATATATATATATATATATATATATATATATATATATATATATATATATGTATGTGTATATATATATATATATATATATATATATATATATATATATATATATATATAAGTAGCGTGCTTCTCTAAATTTGAAATTGTCTATTACCTGAGTATTTTAATCTATTTCAATGCAATGTATAACCACTCTGAGAAAACGAACCAGACAACATGGGCACCCCTATTTTAAAGAAGGGCATTAAGTCATGGAAGTAGTTTGAACGTTTGCCTATCTTTCAAAATACAGCTCTTGTAGATTTTTTTATTTTTCTACGCAACAGGGTATGCTAGTTACTGTAGAACAATCACTGCTATAGTAGACATGTTTGTTTTTTACAAAACCACTATCAAGGTGCGCGAAAAATATTATTTATGAAAAGAAAATTCATTGTTTTTTTTTTGGTCGGAATTGGGCCCCTAAACGTTGTGCCCCCCCCCCCTCCCCACATTGCGGGGTCTGGCAGCACTGTAGTTCCGCCCCTGACACAAACACTTCATGGTTAAGGTTTTAGCACAAATCAATTCTTTAATAGACTGAGAAAAACAGTAGATTATTAAATCACATATTAGCGAAACTTTATTTCCTTTTCTCTCATCGTAACAGTAATTCCTTGGAAACGGTTATCCTGTGATTAAAAGTAATCGTGATTGAAATATGAAATTATTTCCTCATGTTAAAGACGGTTATAGACATAGAGAAAAAATGTGCATTTAAATGTGTGCCTCATGTTAAAGACGGTTATAGACACAGAGATAAAATGTACATTTAAATGTGTGCCTCATATTAAAGACGGTTATAAACATAGGGATAAAAAGTACATTTAAATGTGTGCCTCATATTAAAGACGGTTATAGACATAGAGATAAAATGTACATTTGAATGTGTGCCTCATATTAAAGACGGTTATAGAAATAGGGATAAAAAGTACATTTGAATGTGTGCCTCATATTAAAGAAGGTTCTAGACATAGAGATAAAAAGTACATTTAAATGTGTGCTTACAGGTGAGCGTCGAGGCGACCGCCAGGAACAGCACATGATCCCTAAAGCCGCCGTCATCGCCATCCCTGTGGTGGGCGCTGTTATCCTGATAGTGGTCATCGTGGTCGTGTTCTGGATGGTCAAGGTGCGTCGTGCCAGGGGTCAGGTCGTGGGAGAGAAGGGCGTGGTCGCCACCTACCCCCTGTCTTTCGTCGAGACGGACAAGGACTGCAAGAAAACCCCCATCTTGGATTTCGTGAACTCCGGCTCCAACCTGTACACAACCCCCGGCTCCAACCTGTACACAACCCCCGGGTTCAACCAATACCCACCCGCCTACGGCACTGAGAACGAGAAAGCTGGGGTGCCACCCCCTTATTACGGCATGGCTGTTGGCCCCAGCGCCCCAGTCTACACCACTGCGGCCGCCATGTCCCCTGGTAAGTAGTAAACACTATTGTGTCAGACTTACTAGATTGTGGGGTTCACATCACCATTAGACGAGTGCTTCTTTCAGGCATCTCTCCATGGGAGAAATTAAAAAAAAAATGCTGTAAATGGTATATAAATTATAATGATATATATAATTATAACCGCTCCATCCTGAAGTTTATAAGAAGCAAATTGTTTGAAATGTATCCAGGATTAAGTAAATATATCTTTTGCAACTGTGCCCAAATATATAAATAGGAAACAGGGTACTTTGGCTGTCTGGTCAGTATTTTCTGTTGATGTATGGGGTCAGGTGGTGGGGAACACCTTATAACACTGAGTTCCATTTTTTTTTTCCATTTTTAGACAATGAGAAAGATTTTACGAACAGGTCATCTCAACAAATTGTTTTTCCTACCATAATTTAATTCCCTTTATATGTTTTAGAGATGAGTCATGACTTAAGTTTAAGCATAAATTGTCTGTCTTTGTTTTGTTATATATAATAAGAGGACAATCTTTTGATCTTCACTCACTGAACCGTACAAAATAATTTATATTTCTCTGTCTGTCATATGTGCAATAACGAATACAAATAATGCATTGAGCGACACACACATAAAGTTCAAGAATACCAGTATACACTATCCAGTAATATAAAATGAGTGCGAACCAAAACTTGGTTTCTGTACAATATCGCTGTCTTACAAGATTGTTTAATTAAACTTTGTACATTTCAGCCCAGGTGGAAGCCCTAGCTCCCCCACCCTACCCAACTAAGGAGCTGTCAATGTAAAGGTAAGATACACGTTTACTTATGCAGCACAATTTGGTGTGATACACACGTGTGTTGGCGTGTCGATTACAACACTCTATTGATGTGTGATTGGTTCATGTTTATAAGACTATTGATGTGTGATGGTTTCATGTTTATAACACTCTATTCATGTGTGATTGGTTCATGTTTACAACACTATAATGATGTGTGATTGGTTCATGATTACACCAGTCTATTAATGTGTGATTGGTTCATGATTACACCAGTCTATTAATGTGTGATTGGTTCATGATTACACCAGTCTATTGGTGTGTGAAGGGTTCATGTTTACAGCGCTTTGATGATGTGTGATTGGTTCATGATTACAACACTCTATTGATGGTGATTGGTTCATGTTAACAACACTCTATTGATGGTGATTGGTTCATGTTTACAACACTCTATTGATGTGTGATTGGTTCATGTTAACAACACTCTATTGATGGTGATTGGTTCATGTTTACAACACTCTATTGATGGTGATTGGTTCATGTTAACAACACTCTATTGATGGTGATTGGTTCATGTTAACAACACTCTATTGATGGTGATTGGTTCATGTTTACAACACTCTATTGATGTGTGATGGGTTCATGTTTACAACACTCTATTGATGGTGATTGGTTCATCTTAACAACACTCTATTGATGGTGATTGGTTCATGTTTACAACACTCTATTGATGTGTGAAGGGTTCATGTTTACAACACTCTATTGATGGTGATTGGTTCATGTTAACAACACTCTATTGATGGTGATTGGTTCATGTTAACAACACTCTATTGATGGTGATTGGTTCATGTTAACAACACTCTATTGATGGTGATTGGTTCATGTTTACAACACTCTATTGATGTTTGATTGGTTCATGATTACAACACTCCGTTGTATTTTAATGGGTTCATATTTTAAAGATGTTAGTTGATAGGACACACTTTTGTCCAAACTAACTGTTGAGTAAAATCGCTTCTACTTCACTGTACTATGATTTTATATTTGACATTTAGAGAACATTTTTTTAAAAATATCTTTTATCTCGTCAACGTTTTTTCCATGATTGTAAATAAGTTCGTATTTTGAAAGTAAAGAAAATATTTTTAATGAAAAAAAATATTCATTTTACTTACATAAAGTGGCTTCTAATCTTTTTTTTCTCAGGATATTATGATGCAAGTTCTACAACTCCTGTGCCAGAACTCCCAGAGTTAACTCCTTTCCACTTACATGTTTGTTGCAAAGAGATAAAAGCTCACAGTTTTAAAATACATTATTTTCGTGAAAATATCAATGTTGTTTTTACACTTAGCTTTTATATATCTCATACTGTACAATTTTTTTGTGAAATATTTTAAAACGCCACTTCACTGTGTAAAGTTTGTATTTTAAAGTTAACTTCTGTATCTAATTTAGTTTGTTATTTTAATGACTTAAGATTTTAAAAAATCAAAACAACAAATATTGTACTCCCGTTATATATTAAAATTGTAACATCAAGAATATTTTGAAGTTCTTAATTAGATTAACATAAGTTATAATTAAAACTTTCGCCAGTGTAAATATTAAATTTTACAGTAGATGCTAATACCCGTGTGTGTCAAATTAAACATTAGTACCGTAAATGCTAAAATTTTACTGAAATTATAGAATATCTTTTTAACATTGTTATAAAATATGCATTTCTGTTCTATTTCTACATACTTTCTTATATTTTAAACAATTCCTTTATCCTTATCCTAAACACATTTGCTGAAGTCTCACAGCTAAAGATATTAAATAAAACGTCATACAATTCTGATATTGTTTAAATAAAACTCTATATCAAAATGGAAATAAAAATGTGTTTACTCATGTCGTGTCCGGTTGACTTAAAGTACTCAACAGCTCCAACCTTTGGTGAATCGTTAGAGAAACTGTTTGAAGAAAATGTAAATATGACTATTTTTGCACACATTTAATAGTTTGTTGCTTATGTTTTGTACTACGATTCACACAGAAATAAAATTTTAAAAATCACAAAATCGTGTGTTTTCATTCACTGTTGAAGACAATTCAATTTGACATGAAAATCTCTTCCTTAATATTAGTAAACGTATCCAATAGATAATATAGCGACCCACACTTTTCTTTTTAGTTATTTAAATAGTAGTGTACCATTATATATTTAAAGAAAATCATTTATTTTCTCCTTTTTAGTGCATTTTATCATGAAAGCTTGTTATTAAAACGGCTGGTTTTTTCAGTTGTTTTAAAAAGAAGTTTTCATGTTTGTGCAGTATTGTCAGTTTAGTTCTAAGATCTTGAGATTTGGTAGTTATACTTGTCTTAAATAGGTGGAACTACATTAGCCTAACGCAGGGGTCTCCAAACTACGGCCCGCGGGCCAGATGCGGCCCGCGAGGTCCTTTCATCCGGCCCGCGGAGATCTTTTTGTCCACGGAAAAAATGTTTGCTGGTGATGGCTGAGGAACTTTGCCCAGAAAAATTAAAGACATATCTGGAAGAAACTGGCCCCAGAACTGAAATTTGATAGCTAATGCGGCCCTCGGACTGAAAAGTTTGGAGACCCCTGGCCTAACGTAACAAGGACGTGGTTTGATAGCACGAGACTAAGCATGTTAAGCTTAAATGGGGAGTAGGCCGCGACATTTCGGTTCCTATCCAGTAATAGACTAGTCCAGTAATAGACTAGTCCAGTAATAGACTAGTCCAGTGATAGACTAGACCAGTGATAGACTAGTCCAGTGATAGACTAGTCCAGTGATAGACTAGTCCAGTGATAGACTAGTCCAGTGATAGACTAGTCCAGTGATAGACTAGTCCAGTGATAGACTAGTCCAGTGATAGACTAGTCCAGTGATAGACTAGTCCAGTGATAGACTAGTCCAGTGATAGACTAGACTAGTCCAGTGATAGACTAGTCCAGTGATAGACTAGGCCAGTGATAGACTAGTCCAGTGATAGACTAGTCCAGTGATAGACTAGCCTAGTCCAGTAGACTAGTCCAGTGATAGACTAGTCCAGTGATAGACTAGTCCAGTGATAGACTAGTCCAGTAATAGACTAGTGGTGTGATAGACTAGTCCAGTGATAGACTAGTCCATTGATAAACTAGACTAGTCCAGTAATAGACTAGTCCAGTAATAGACTAGCCTGGTGATAGACTAGTCCAGTGATAGACTAGACCAGTGATAGACTAGTCGAGTGATAGACTAGTCCAGTGATAGACTAGCCCAGTGATAGACTAGTATAGTGATAGACTAGTCCATTTATAGACTAGACTAGCCCAGTGATAGACTAGTCCAGTGATAGACTAGTCCAGTGATAGACTAGCCCAGTGATAGACTAGTCCAGTGATAGACTAGTCCAGTGATAGACTAGCCCAGTGATAGACTAGTCCAGTGATAGACTAGCGCAGTGATAGACTAGCCGAGTGATAGACTAGTCCATTGATAGACTAGTCCAGTGATAGACTAGCCCAGTGATAGACTAGTCCAGTGATAGACTAGCCCAGTGATAGACTAGTCCAGTGATAGACTAGCGCAGTGATAGACTAGCCCAGTGATAGACTAGTCCATTGATAGACTAGTCCAGTGATAGATTAGTCCAGTGATAGACTAGTCCAGTGATAGACTAGTCCAGTGATAAACTAGTCTAGTGATAGACTAGTCTAGTGATAGACTAGTCTAGTGATAGACTAGTACAGTGATAGACTAGCCCAGTGATAGACTAGTCCAGAGATAGACTAGTCCAGTGATAGACTAGACTAGTCCAGTGATAGACTAGTCCAGTGATAGACTAGACTAGTCTAGTAATAGACTAGTCCAGTGATAGACTAGTCCAGTGATAGACTAGTCTAGTGATAGACTAGTCCAGTGATAGACTAGCCCAGTGATAGACTAGCCCAGTGATAGACTAGTCTAGTGATAGACTAGTCCAGTGATAGACTAGTACAGTGATAGACTAGCCCAGTGATAGACTAGTCCAGTGATAGACTAGTCCAGTGATAGACTAGTCCAGTGATAGACTAGTCCAGTGATAGACTAGTCTAGTGATAGACTAGTACAGTGATAGACTAGCCCAGTGATCGACTTGTCCAGTGATAGACTAGTCCAGTGATAGACTAGACTAGTCCAGTGATAGACTAGTCCAGTGATAGACTAGACTAATCTAGTAATAGACTAGTCCAGTGATAGACTAGTCCAGTGATAGACTAGTCCAGTGATAGACTGGTCCAGTGATAGACTAGCCCAGTGATAGACTAGTCTAGTGATAGACTAGTCCAGTGATAGACTAGTCCAGTGATAGACTAGTCCAGTGATAGACTGGTCCAGTGATAGACTAGCCCAGTGATAGACTAGTCTAGTGATAGACTAGTCTAGTGATAGACTAGTCCAGTGATAGACTAGTCCAGTGATAGACTAGTCCAGTGATAGACTGGTCCAGTGATAGACTAGTCCAGTGATAGACTAGTCCAGTGTCAGACTAGTCTAGTGATAGACTAGTCCAGTGATAGACTAGTCTAGTGATAGACTAGTCCAGTGATAGACTAGTCCAGTGATAGATTAGTCCAGTGATAGATTAGTCCAGTGATAGACTAGCCCAGTGATAGACTAGTCCAGTGATAGACTAGCGCAGTGATAGACTAGCCCAGTGATAGACTAGTCCAGTGATAGACTAGCCCAGTGATAGACTAGTCCAGTAGACTAGACCAGTGATAAACTAACCCAGTGATAGACTAGTCCATTGATAGACTAGTCCAGTAATAGACTAGTCCAGTAATAGACAAGTCCAGTGATAGACTAGTCCAGTGATAAACTAGTCCAGTGATAGACTAGACTAGTCCAGCGATAGAGTAGACCAGTAATAGACTAGTCGAAGTGATAGACTAGTCCAGTGATAGACTAGTCCAGTGATAGACTAGTCCAGCGATAGACTAGTCTAGTAATAGACTAGTCGTGTGATAGAATAGTCCAGTGATAGACTAGTCCAGTGATAGACTAGTCCAGTGATAAACTAGTCCAGTGATAAACTAGTCCAGTGATAGACTAGACTAGTCCAGTGATAGAGTAGACCAGTAATAGACTAGTCGAAGTGATAGACTAGTCCAGTGATAGACTAGTCCAGTGATAGACTAGACTAGTCCAGTGATAGAGTAGACCAGTAATAGACTAGTCCAGTGATAGACTAGTCCAGTGATAAACTAGTCCAGCGATAGACTAGTTCAGTGATAGACTAGTCCAGTAATAGACTAGTCCAGTGATAGACTAGTCCAGTGATAGACTAGTCCAGTGATAGACTAGACTAGTCCAGTGATAGACTAGTCCAGTGATAGACTAGTCCAGCGATAGACTAGTCCAGTGATAGACTAGCCCAGTGATAGACTAGTCCAGTGATAGACTAGTCCAGTGATAGACTAGTCCAGCGATAGACTAGTCTAGTAATAGACTAGTCGTGTGATAGAATAGTCCAGTGATAGACTAGTCCAGTGATAGACTAGTCCAGTGATAAACTAGTCCAGTGATAAACTAGTCCAGTGATAGACTAGACTAGTCCAGTGATAGAGTAGACCAGTAATAGACTAGTCGAAGTGATAGACTAGTCCAGTGATAGACTAGTCCAGTGATAGACTAGACTAGTCCAGTGATAGACTAGTCCAGTGATAGACTAGACCAGGGGTCGGCAACCTTTTGAAGCGGAAGAGCCAAAAGTTACAATTTTTTAAAATTTCCCTTGTTTTAAAGAGCCACTAACATTTTTTAAATTTCAAATATTTTATTTTTTTATTTAGATTATTAGTATTTGTTCAAGAAGCTGGAGAGCCGCATCTTGATATCAAAAGAGCCGCATGCGGCTCGCGAGCCGCAGGTTGCCGACCCCTGGACTAGACTAGTCCAGTGATAGACTAGACTAGTCCAGTGATAGACTAGTCCAGTGATAGACTAGTCCAGTGATAGATTAGTCCAGTATTAGACTAGTCCAGTGATAGACTAGTCCAGTGATAGACTAGTCTAGTGATAGACTAGACCAGTGATAGACTAGTCCAGTGATAGACTAGTCCAGTGATAGACTAGTCCAGTATTAGACTAGTCCAGTGATAGACTAGCCCAGTGATAGACTAGTCCAGTGATAGACTAGTCCAGTGATAGACTAGTCCAGTGATAGACTAGTCCAGTGATAGACTAGCCCAGTGATAGACTAGACCAGTGATAGACTAGCCCAGTGATAGACTAGACCAGTGATAGACTAGTCCAGTGATAGACTAGTCCAGTAATAGACTAGTCCAGTGATAGACTAGTCTAGTGATAGACTAGTCCAGTGATAGACTAGTCCAGTGATAGACTAGTCCAGTGATAGACTAGCCCAGTGATAGACTAGACCAGTGATAGACTAGTCCAGTGATAGACTAGTCCAGTAATAGACTAGTCCAGTGATAGACTAGTCTAGTGATAGACTAGTCCAGTGATAGACTAGTCCAGTGATAGACTAGTCCAGTGATAGACTAGCCCAGTGATAGACTAGTCCAGTGATAGACTAGTCCAGTAATAGACTAGTCCAGTATTAGACTAGTCCAGTGATAGACTAGCCCAGTGATAGACTAGACCAGTGATAGACTAGTCCAGTAATAGACTAGTCCAGTGATAGACTAGTCCAGTGATAGACTAGTCCAGTAATAGACTAGTCCAGTGATAGACTAGTCCAGTGATAGACTAGTCCAGTGATAGACTAGTCCAGTGATAGACTAGTCCAGTGATAGACTAGTCCTATGATAGCCTGGTCTTTATGACAGACTATGTGTACCTGTTATAGCCAGTGATGTGAGATATTCCATAACACAATAAAATGTGGA